ATCATTTCTTAGAATTTTCATTAGGATATTTCATTAGGCTCCTGTGCTTTTTCATTACCATTTCATAGAATTTTCATTAGGATATTTCATTAGGCTCCTGTGCTTTTTCATTACCATTTCTTAGAATTTTCATTAGGATATTTCATTAGGCTCCTGCGCTTTTTCATTATCATTTCTTAGAATTCTCATTAGGATATTTCATTAGGCTCCTGCGCTTTTTCATTATCATTTCTTAGAATTTTCATTAGGATATTTCATTAGGCTCCTGTGCTTTTTCATTACCATTTCTTAGAATTTTCATTAGGATATTTCATTAGGCTCCTTTGCTTTTTCATTACCATTTCATAGAATTTTCATTAGGATATTTCATTAGGCTCCTGCGCTTTTTCATTACAATTTGTTATATTTCTCATTAGGATATTTCATTAGGCTCCTTGGCACTTTCATTAGATTTTCTTGGAATTTTCATTGGGATATTTCATTCAGCTCCTTGACCCTTTCATTACCATTTCATTGAACTTTCATTAGAATGCTTCTTGGCACTTTCATTAGGATATTTCATTACACTCCTTGACCATTTCATTAGATTTTTCATTGGGAGATTTCATTGGGGCATCTGGCCCTTTCATTACCATTTCTTTTAGGATATTTCATTGAGCACCTTGACGATTTCATCACTTCTCATCAGGCTCCCTGGCACTTTCATTACTATTTCTTAGATTTTTCATTAGGATATTTCATTAGGCCCTTTGGCACTTTCATTACCGAAAACTATATAATAATGATGATATGTATCACATGGGTTGTTGGGAGGGTGGTCACATGACCAATTACCAAAAATAGTCAAAAAGCGAAAGTTGTACCCCTGTGCTGTAGCTTCCCGAATCTGGTTGAATTATGTTCTGAAGTGCTCCTGTTGTGGAGATATGAGGTAAAGGAATTCCAAAAGCATCGTGTTTTTTTTGGTTTTTTGCATTTTTCTTCATGAAAACAAAACCAAATAACATGATTCCAACACATTTAGAAAGCTAGATGAAAGGGCAACAAATATCATATCGTGGGAAAATTGACCAAAAAAGGAAGGTGCATTCCCTAAAAGAGCAATCAACACTGACAGACTACAAGAGTCAGATATAGACTACCAAGTTTACTGATAGACTACAAAAGACTACAAAAGTCAGACTTAGACTACAAAAGCTTGGACTTAGACTACAAAATTAGGGTTACATTAAAAGGTTTTGTAGTGTCCGCTTTTTCATTAGAAAAGTTTATAGTGTCCGCTTTTTTAGACTACAAAAGTTTGTAGTGTGTGCCTTTTCATTAGAAAAGTTTGTAGTGTCCGCTTTTCAGACTACAAAAGTTTGTAGTGTCCGCTTTTTCATTAGAAAAGTTTGTAGTGTCTGCTTTTTGAGGCTACAAAAGTTTGTAGTTGACATATAGTTTATAGTGTCCTTGACTCTGTATAGGTTATGGGGATGAGGTTAAAGGATTGACATGATTTTACATATTGCCATTGCTGCAGCATTTACTTTTGA